CACACGGTAGACGGCGTCGGCGTCGTCGATCGACCGCCACGCGGCGCCGTTCTCGACGATCGCTGCGCGAGGCAGGGGAGAGGGTCAGAGAGGGAGAGGGTCTGAGACAGGAGAGGGCAGGGCGGCGGCGGCAAGGAGGGCGGCGGCGAGGGGGGCGGCGGGTAGGGAGGGCGGCGGGTAGGAGGAGATGGGCGTCGGAGCGAGGGGCGGCAGCAGCGGCGGGAGGGGAGGCTGACGCACCGGCGACGGCGACCGTCAGCTCCTTGACGGCGGCGACGCAGCAAGGCTTGCCTAGTGATACCATGACTCGGACATGTCCTGGACGCGTCCTGGCCGGGTACTGGCCGGGTACAGGCTGAGAGCGGCAGCAGGCGACCTACTTGTATGAGTCACAGGGACGTGTCGCGCCTGTGATTGGGCAAGATATGGGCACGCCACCAGAGGGGGAGCGGCGAGGGGGAGGAGGCGTGAAGAGAGGCGAAGTGGGGAGGCGAGGGTGGGGAGGCGAGGCGAAGACAGCGGCGCTGTTGCCGTTATGGCAGCCACACGACCCGACCGGTCCGCCCGTCTCCATGATGTACCTGGGTGGTCAAAGAGGGGCGGGCTGCGTCTGCAGACTCGATGCGACCAACGTGAGGAGCAGCGAGCTCGAGTGCTCTCCTACCGAGGCAGTCAAGCGCTGGGGCCACGGGCTGGGGACTGCGCATCTAGGACGCTGCATGCGGAGCGCCGACTGGATGCTGCGCTCGATGCAGAAGAGCTGGCGGGCGAGAGGCGGGCATCGGATGCGAGAGGCGGGCATCGGATGCGAGGGCCGGAGGGCAGCTGTGCGGAGGCGGCAGGTGAAGACCTGGCCGTGGTCCGCCGTCTCGCGCTTTCCATCGATGAAGCGCGAGAGCGCAGAGCCCAGCACGCCGGCAACGGACGGCCCTGATGCTGCTGCTCGCCAATTCTCTGTGTTGTTGGGCATATCTTTGCAGTGGGAGGGTCGGAGAGTAGCAGCAGAGATTGGACGGGGCCGCTCAAAGCTGTCCCGAAAAAGAGAAATCCATATCTCATCGGTGAGGGACTGCGAAGGTGGGGACGTGTCTGTCCTCGACCCAGCCCTAGCTTGGGATGTCCGTTGTATTTATTTATTTATTGCGAAGGGAGATAGGAAGAGGCAGACGACCAAGGGATAGGGTGGGCGACGGCTAGCACCACACTCCTCTCCTTAAAATCCCTGTGTGGTGGCGGCGTGCCGTCCTCCCATCCCTCTCCCTTGGGTTGTCTGTTTTCTTTCTTTCTTTCCTATCTCTCCAGGAGATGTCTGCTCAATATTTATTTATATGGTTCGGGAATTTTACAACACTCCCTCGCACGACACTGCTCACTGGGCACGGGTGGAAGACTGGCGCGCACTGGCACTAACACAGGTACACTAACACAGGACACAGGTACACTACGGGCGAGGGTGAAAAAGATAATTTTAACACCCGAAGTCGAAAAAGAGAATTCTCGTATCCCTCTCTTGACTGGGCACGGGACTGGCGCGCACTAAAGTCTACACAGGTACACGGCAGAAGCGACTCCTGCGAATGGGGGGGGGCGCGGAAAAGAGGAACCTCTTGGCGTTTAAAGGTAGAGGCGGTTCCAGATGGGGGAGAACCATGATTGCACTGCGTCCATGGCCTCCATCCCAAATGATGTCATTCCTGAGAGGTCTCGCGACTCGCCTCGCAGAGAGAGATTTTTAGCAATACCAAACAACTCTAACACTCACAAGCACGGTTCGCACTCGCGGCGCACTTACTTTCCCAACCGCATTTGTGGC